TGGACACTACAGAAAATGGGCTTAAAGTGTAAAAAACCGAACTTCTCCTTTAACAAAAACTACATTGGGTCTACGCTCCACAGTTGCATCATGATCCATCCCGATTCAAATTCACTAGTGCAGAACTGAAATCATCAGGTTTGCATTTTGTTCTGATAAGGCACCGTATTATAAAATAATGCAGAAAAAAAACATGTTTATTTTTCCTATTATAGAAACGTTTAACCTTAAATGTTTTTTGTATGCACGTTAACGCCGGAGGAAGTCAGAACTAACTGATTCTAATAGCATTTGTTATAATGTGAATGAAAATGTTTAAAACATTTAAAACAGTAGTTATGTTTGCCAGTTTGTACCTCCCATAAACACCTATGGGTGAAACTATCCATTAGACATAATTAACTCAAACTTACTTCAATCCTTGGCTTTTTGGCTTCAGAAGATACTTCATCAGCTGCTCTTTTCACTTGGGAGCGAAAAAGAAGAATCAATTTATTACCAAGACATTTAAAGAATTTTTAAGGTGCAGATAAATAAAAGAAAAAAAATTTTAATAGCTCTTTCCATATAAAAATAGAATAAAAATGAAATACCTTGTGTTGGCCTTTGAAGACCTATTTCTATAGGAGCACTTCTGTCAATGCTCGTCGATGTTGCTGTAAAAGAACATGACTGTATTAGACAAGATTGATTCTACCCAGAACTTTTACCTTTAATGAACCTGAAAATGAGCTTTTATAAAATATGCACAAATTGCACATCATTAATTAGGCATTACTGCTTAGCCACGTCATCATCAAGAAGTACCAGCTAGCAAACAGAAAGGCAGCTATTAATGAAAGGCTGCCCTAAATATCAAAAGGTGTAGCAGTTCATCTTCACACTGTTCACGTTTCGTACAGCAAACACATTAACATGAAAAAATGCTGATACATGAATCTAATTTAGTATTTGCTGATAATATTAAAATCAGACGTATTCTTTGAAGTAAACAGAGAAGAGATATTCCTTTAGAAAAGATAAGACATCTTAGTGCGCTCTAATTACCCTCTCCAGATGGATTATCTTCAGGGAGTGTTTGATCCAGATCTCGGCTAAATAGTAGTTTGGCCTAAATGAGTTTTTACAAACAGCTCTCGTCTTTCTAAAAAAGGAAAAGCCAAGGCTGACCCTGCAGTAATTTACCCCAGAACTTCCCCTGACCTGCCACTAACCCCTCTTTGTAAAATGGACCCTGGTGTCTGTTCTCAGTGACTGAGATGCTAAAATCTGCTAGAAAAGTGAGAAGATTGAGCAAAAAGAGTGAAGAAAATATGGGTTAATCAAAATTGATACAGTAAATATTCCTGATAACATGCGACCTTAACCTGAAGCTACCATAAATCCACTGGCCGGTAGAGAAATAGAAAAAAAATACCATTTAGTATGAAGCAGTAATGATGGGATATCATTTGTGTTCTCCATTATAATAATGTCTACCCCACAGTCAGCGTGTTTTTGAGGACACCTAGAGGCCACAGCCTGCTATGACAGTTCACTTCTACTTTAGTGCTGAAAATAAGTTTGTTGCAGCAGCCACCCCAAAATAATAAAAATTATAATCATAGTCATAAATGACCAGCGTCTGACTTTTTAGATGTTTCCTCATCATAACAGCGTTAGTTTAAATGGTAGAGATAATAAAACATAGGTATTAACATCAGCTTTTATTGTATTATTTTATAAATATATTAACTTTTTAAAGTTTTATGCCGACAGCTCTGCAGGAGCACAGATCAAGGCTTGCATTTAGTGTACGTCTCCCTGACAGCTCCTGGATCAGCTTTTCTGAATGGTTGACGATCAGCGTCCAGCTGCAAAAGTTCAGATTTCCAGACTCATGGATCTGCGCTTTGGACAATTGAATACTCCAAACATGCTGCTCCTAAAGCAGGAAATGCTACTAATGTCCCCATCATGCCACTGGACCTCTCTACCCTCCTCAACGCTGTACTTCAGACATCATCTGTAAACCATGGTGCTAAAAACACATCTGGTGTTGCAGTAAGCATATATATTCAAAACTTAGGGAGTGATGGAGGAGTTAGTTTAACATTAATTTACAATCTACTTTATGAAGTTTACAACCCTCCAACAATCGAAGGGGTCCGCTGCTAAATAAAAAGAGATAAAGAAATGCATCTTAAAGGTTAAAGCTGATAGACGAGGGCCAATCAAACTGAACAGGAAAATGATACAAGATCAAAAACTATTCGAGTTTGGGTGAAAACACCATTAAGTTTCAGCAAAGAGTGTTGGAAGTCTACATTTCCAGGGAAAACATCCAATGTGAAGATGAATGCACTACCATCCAGCTCTCCTAAACACTAAAATGATTTTTATAAAACAAAGTTTTGTTGTATTTGCACACATGTAATTTATAGTACGACTGGGCTTTAAAGGTGAGAAGAGGCAGCTTTTAGTAGATGGAACAGAAAGAATGAAAGGTCTGAAAAGCATGGCCCATATGATACAAAATAATGAGCACCCCATACATTCAAGAAACAAAAACTTTTCTGCTGCTACTTACAACTCTCTCCATTGAGGTAGGACAGCAATCCCTTTCGATCCGGTCGTCTGACAACAGGGATGTTCTCTGTCTATAATAAACATGCAGACATGTCATGAATAGACACGCCTTTCACAGGTACAGAGAAATATTTGCAGCCCTGACAGAGGGCTCTAACTTACTGCAGCTCTTCGGACATACGATGGATGCGGCAGATGTACATTGTTCAGCAAGAATAAAATGGAGTCCAAAGTATAGTACTCTTTGGGTTGGCCCTCTTTACCAGTACTGATGGAGAAAACATCCAAAAGCAAGAAATTAAAACTCAAACTTCTTTAGGAGATCAAATAATCTCTACAATCATTAAACCACATCTTACTAACGTTCAGCTGGCTCTGTTTAACCATAAACAACTATAAACGATAACTCTAAAGATGGATACAGCTTTATTGGCTGAGCCACAGTATGGAAGTCTTCTTCGGAAACTAAAAAGTTACAATACACAGAATAATGACCAAAAAGATAAATAATATCCCCATGAATCCCTGACTTCATGAAACACAAATCGGAGCTAGCTGGCATCGCTAATTTAGCATCACCTCACTGAGACACAAGTTTGGACGTTAACTTCTTTAATATAACAAATGTACATAAAGTACAAACAACTATGTCGAGGCAAAACAAAGGGGTTAAAACTGCAGCACAATGTCAATTGCAAGTTATTGACGTATGAAGCTAAAGTAATCAACACTTTAAAGTTCAGAGCTTAGAGAGGAGTTGTTAGCATTTTAGCATCAAGTGGCTAGCCAGTCCAACGTCGTCGCGTAAAGGGAGACACGGGCCTAAATAAAAGGATTTAAATGTGTTTAATGTGCTGACATACCCCCAGATTATGTAGTTGGTCTTGACATTTTTCGGCCAGGAGAACTCTCCAAATATCACCTCATCCCCTTTAGCGACTATTTCCTTTTTCTGGATGTTATACTGACGAAGAACGCTCAACACATCCGCCATCTTCACTCGCCTTCATGTAGTGTGTTTGCGAGGCCCCCGCATATCAACATCATGCTGCCCTGCAAGGTGCCTGATAATAAACAATCTTTTTTCTTTTTTTTTCCTGTCATTTTTGTGGGAGCCAGTTTTCCCCTACCTACAACTGAAGCTGAACCTAGATGTAATCTGTATCTGGATCCAATCAATATTTTTCTAGCTTAATCCCACCTTGAAGTTCGCTCTTTGGTTCCAAATATGGCAAGTCTTAGACCAAATTTGTCATTTTATGTACACAGAGTACATGCAAAACGAAATATCGATGCATAAAGCTTTTCAACAGTGACTGAGCAACTTACAGTAGTGAAATTAACATTTCTATTTATAAAGTGTAGCCGTGATCAGAATAATATGGTGTAAATGCAGTAGAAACATTAAGTTTTATTTAAAGGGATTTTGAAATTTGCCATATAGTGCAAATGTGATGTGTGTGATGCATGATTTGAGACTTGATTAGAGTTTCAGCAGTTCAACAGTCTGATGGCAGAGGGGGAAAAGCTGATGCAGAACCTGCATGTCTTGCATTGAATGCTGCAAAGCCTCTTCCCAGAGGGCAGCAGGGAGAACAGTCCATGGTGGGGGTGTGAGGAGTCAGTTGATGATGTTATGGGCTCGTGACACGCAGCACTGGGATGAAATGTCTTTAATAATAATAATAATAATACATTTTATTTAAAAAGGCACATTTCTGGACACTCAAGGCCACCGTACAAAAGCATAAAAACAGTGTCAGAAAAAATAAAACATTTAAAAAAAATACAGAGGCCGTGAAAGTGAAATTGATATTTAAAGAGAATAAGCAATCTTGAAAAGATGGGTTTTGGGTTGCATTTTAAAATGGAGAATTTATTCTGTGTTTCTGAGTTGGGAAGAGGAGCCCCGATGATCTTCTCTGCTGTTCTCACCACTCTTCTCACCTTCTTCCAGTCTGAGGCTCTGCAGCCTCCCCACCACACAGAGAGACAGCTGGTCAGAACGCTCTCTATGGTGCTTCTTTAGAAGGTGCTGAGGATGGGTGGGGGCAAGTGGACTCTCCTCATCCTCTGCAGGAAGTACAAGTACGTTTGTGCCCTTTTAACCAGTGAGGTGGTGTTTACAGTCCAGGTGAGGTTGTCTGAGATGTGCACCCCCAGGAATTTGGTGATGTTGACCATCTCTACTGCAGCATTGTTAGGCCGGTTCTACCTGAAGTCCAAGATCATCTCCTTTGTTTTCTGCACATTCAGGATCAGGCTGTCGTCTCTACACCAACCCACCAGCTGCTCCTCCTCCTCTCTGTAGTCCTGATCGTTGTCGTCTATGATGAGGCAAACTTCCCAGTATGACTGGTGGTGAACCTGGGGACACATTTGTGTGTCATCAGAGTGAACAGCAGGGGAGGCTGCTTCCTGAACCCCCTGCTGTTCATATGATGGCAACATAAATTCCTCTAATTAAGAACCCCAAATATCTATTCCTCCCTTTCTCACTTTGTTCAGATGAGGCAGGTTCCTGTACTCAAACCAAAATCCCCCCACAGTGCTGTTTGTGACTGAGTTAATTCAGCGGAACATGTACCCTTCTGTTGGAGAACATTGACACAGTTTCAGGAGGCGCTTCTTCTGCATCTTTCAGGAAGCTTTAGAAGTACTAGCTGTAGTAATAGTTTCTCCTTGTGCATTTTAAACATTTTTTTATCTACATTTTTCTAACTGGTCACATGTTAAAGTTAGAAGATTATTATTTAGTAAAACCTGCTCATAAGTCCCTCCTCTGCATTGTCCTATCAGGCGACTCACTTCCCTTATATCTAAATACTCCTTGATGATGTCAATGTTTGCTTTTGCAGTTATTACTGAATCGTAGGAATACAAAGAGGACTTGTTCCGTTATAGCAAATAAAGGAGATGCTCTTAAGTAGTTTTTAGTTCTTTGGTAAGATTTTTTTTTCTGCTTCTGTGAGATACATGATTATTTTAGTCATAATCCATATAAATTTCAAACTTTTCTTTCTGCCTCCATTACTTCTGCACCATAATGGAAAGCAATGCGGCAAATACTGCTCTTAACTCTAATTCTGGTTCCATTAAACCACAATTTGATCTGTTTGAAGAGGTAAACCTAACCCGCAAAGAGCAAGAAACCTTTTTTCCCCGCAAATCATCTTAGCCACTCAACTCTCTCCTTCTTGTTTCTCAACAATAAATAACCACTAGTAACATTCTACATTTAGTTCAACATTGACCCTACTCCCCATCTTACTTCAGTGAATGACAAGACCCAAAAAATGATTTGAAGAGCAGCATAAAGGTTTATTTAGGAGTGGGGATACATTGCAACTACAACCAACATACCTGTGCTCACGACTAGATATAACAGTGTGATGAGAAAAGAGGTGAACCACAGTGGAGAAATACAGCAAACGTCTCTCCTGTGAGAACAGATGCTTTTTTTAACTATAATTATGAAACAGTAACTTCAGATTAAACTATTCAAGTCTAAAGAAAACAGACATTGTTTCAACTAGGCTTGTCCCGATCCGATACGTGGATCGGATCGGGACGCCGATATTGGCAAAAAAATGCGTATCGGCAAAGCATGTAAAATGCCGATCCAGACTGCCGATCCAGTTTTTAAAAAAAAATCCGGTCCGTATTTTCCAGTTTCTCCGATTGAAACAATCCATTCCACTATTTTGCGCCAGTGTTTCCCTGTTTTGCATTTTTATTAAAACTTACAGTAATACTTGCACCTTTAACTGTTTACGGCTTTACTGCTCACTGTGCAATTTCAGATTGCTATTCATAATTTTGTCCAGTTTGTGTTTATCTCTTAATAAACAGGTAAGTTTGTTGTTACCAATCATTGTGTTTTATTCAATCTCACCTAATTCAGCTGGCTAGATGTTATCAAGAGTACTAAAACCCTTTTCAACATGAGTCTTACAACTAAGGCTAAATACTTTAACTTAAACTTAAATACATGCTCGGATAGGCTGGTATCGGCCAGTATCGGTATCGGATCGGAAGTCCAAAAACAATATCGGTATTGGATCGGAAGTGCAAAAACCTGGATCGGGACATCTCTAGTTTCAACACAGGAAAATCAAAGGATGAATATGAATGAATTGTTTCAGTTGGATGGTTGATATCCTCCTTTCATATGTTGGACCACATTCTCCTTACTACATCGGCACCACTTAATCACTCCGAAAATAACTACTTCTGACTGCAGCGGATCTGTTGAAGGAAAAACAAAAAACTGATTGCTTGAATCTCAACTGTGTTAACCTCAAATAGTGCATTTAATCGGATTTTATTCAGCAATAATTGCAGTTATTAGTATTTTGCATACATTGATCTTTCTTAAAGATACAGCAGCCCAACTGTAATAGGTTCAGATGGGAGTTTTTTCACACAGCTACATCATGATAGACCCTAAATATATAAATATTATACATATTGACCATATAGTGATGCATAGAATTCAGTGAAAAGTCCTAAATATTTGTGTAATTCAGTTGCTGAGAAAAAATCCAACACAATGAGCCATATTTAATGGCATTTATAGGGTCAATCAGAATTTACATCTATTGATGTCTTCCATTTAAACCTTAAAACAACCAGGAACATTAGGTTTAATGACCTTTAGTAGTTTGCAGAGAATTCCCACTTTTCCATGAGGAACGTCTGCGTGTGATTCTAGCTGGATCTTTAACTCCTCTGATCAGAGATGGTAGAGTTTAATTAAACTGGCTGGTTTACTGGAATACACATAATTTTTTTATTATTCATGATTCAGAAACTTTCAGGAAGGAGCTCAAGAGTTCTGTAGGAGATCATTCAGAAAACTTAATAAAAAATGTCTAAAACCAGTTCTGACTACAAGGCTACATTCACACCAGGGTTCCCACGCCTCAACTAACATCATTCCTTAAATTTAAGGAACGATGAACAGCAGCATTTACCTCCTGCTACCTCTTAAAGTATCACGTCTATCTCATTTATACAGGCATCAGTACCGGAATAAAGGACTTAACATGTCTAATGTAAAGGTGCCAGTTGTAATAATTTGATCAGATTCAGCAGTATTGGAATAAAATTGTAATCTGACAAAGGAGTATTGGGTGAATTTTGTTCCATTATTGTTGCAAACAAAAAATAATTTATGCAAAGGGAAATAAAGAAAAAACTAGCAAGAGTAAATTAAGTGTTTTCTCAGATTTTGCTTTTTTTAAATTCTGTGTGAGCTAAACTGAACAGAGTGTGCATGTGCACCAACATCTATGTGATCTAGTTCTTTGAGCCAATAGATGCTTTTAGAATATTCCAACAATCATGTTTACATTAAACATTTCCAGTCTGGACGGCCGTTTTTTTCTAAACCCTTATGTCCATACAAACGCTACAGTCCGTAAATGTTTGGGTTTTGAGTCCATAGACATTTCAATTAAAGCACTTCTAAAAATGTCTGTCTTTTTTGCCATTTTCAGAAAATTTCGTGGCATTGAACTCATATTCAAATTCAAAAACTTGCAAGGATTTAAAAACTTTCAGATAAGTAGCAGGTTCACTACCACATATGGAAGTGGCACAGTTAAGTTTTTTTTTTGGAGGTGGAAGGATTGGGATTTGTCCATTCTGATGGCTGTGAAAAAACTGGACGAGTTGCATATGAACCAAAAAAACAAAAACAAAAAAACAGGCAGGCGAACGTTGGATCTGGGTCACATTTGCTCGCAGTGTGAAGGTAGCCCAAGTTCCAACTATCTGAATCAACCAGGCTCTCTTAGAGATATAATGTTGAGTTCTAATACTACTGAACCTTCCAAGAAGAACCAAACTCAGGCTGATTCCAGGAGAAGGATGTTCTAATGAAGGAATATATTCAAATTTCTATATGAATTTCAGCAAGGCTAACTTAACATAAGCTCAACCCGCCTAAAAACTGATTAAAGTCTGAGACAGGAAATCATCTCATTGAAATAAATCATTATTTCTACTAAAAATAGTGCTCAGATTTTCAGACACAATCAAGATAATTAGGCGTCTGGTTTCTCCATGGAGTATAATAGCTGTCAAAAAAATAAAAACGTATGCCGAGGTGTCTAAATGTGTATACTAGTTAATAAATGTGAATAAATCCAGTAGCTCCTTATTGTTAACTCATAGAAATATGAAAAATTGGTAAATATAGAAGTACAAATCAAAGAGTTTTGATAACGTTTTTGATTACGACTCACATATGTTGGGAGTAAATATAACAAACTCATGAGTATTAATCATAAATTTACAAATTTGAATCAGATATTGAGTTGACAGCGAGAGCAAATAAAGAAATTCATTTCTTAACATTTATCAACTTTATTTACAAATTCGGACACCTATTGTCATAGATTTTTCTTGACAGCTATTTATCTCTTTTAAAAGTTGCTTTTGTGTAAAACAGACTACCGGTAAGTGTAAGAAATGCGTACATAACTGTTTTTACACATACCGTATTTTCCAGACTATAGAGCGCACCTCACTATAAGCCACACCCACTAAATTATTTGTAAAAACTGGAAACTTACACATATAAGCTGCATCTGGTTATATGCTGCAGATATCTACTGAGCTGTCTCCCACCAAACCTGTAGAGGGAGCTCTACATACAGCCCCTGGAGTGGGGACGAAGAATGCTAGCTCCTGTTAGCTTGTTGGCTCGCAGCAGTAAAGATGGGGCTTTGTCAGCTCTTTATTTCAGCACTGAAGGAGTTGAGCCCATCTCTTCATTGGTTTGGCAGCTTTAATGCGGCAAACTCAAAATGTGTGATTTCAGGACATAGGGCTTGGGATCCGCGTTGCATTGTGTGACGTGGTGGCCATATTGAGGGCTACGCGAACGCAAACATAGCTCTGATACAATGTTGTAGTTGAAAGAAGAGATGTAGAAGTGGAGAGAAAACAGATGTTAAAATCCCAAAAAGGATCTTGAATTTACCGGGACATATTAAATAGAGAAGCCACGGACCGGTATGTTGACAAAATCAGCATTATTAATAATTTGGATCCATATGAAGTTCCAAACAATGAGTGGAGCACCGATGAGTGAGTGCCTATACTTCAAAACAGTTCCGAAGCTACACGTCCTTGGAGTCTCATATGCAGTTCATGAATGGATGGGTTCAGGAGCTGCAGATCATAAAGCCAGCAAACAGTGGGAACACAGTAATCCATACGAAGGTAAGCTGTGATCAGACGGGCTCTGGAATCTGCTAGTTTAGTAACTGCTAACCGCTAGTGCTAACAACCACTCGCTGCTAGCTGCTATGTGTTTCAAAGGTGTAGTTAGTAGCGTTAACTGCCAACCCTCCCCAAACCCTCCGAGTTTCTCACGTATTTGAGCCTTTTCCCGCTGCGGTTTTTACTATTTTCCCATAAAAGGACCCAACTTTGAAGGAAAGAAACAATGTAGGCTATAAAATAAAACCGTGCATCTTTGACTTACCAGAATGAAAATGCAGGGAACACACTCTCATTGACATCGGGATACTGCGGAAAGTTATGTTCGGTCGTCTTACAGCCGCGATCCAAGCTAGCCGACGACTCTTTATCTCTGACACTTGGTCTCCATGGTTGCGCCTCCAGGCAGGAAAGCGGTGGAAAGTTAACCCATTTTCTATGTTGTTCCCATGGCGATCATATGTTGCGCTGTTACAGCCCACAATACAGCAACGGTTTACCATGGTTGAAATCAAGTTAAGGTGAAATTAATCAAATTAAAACACGGCTGAGAGGGAGTACAGTACGTGGTAGTCATAGGCAATAGTCTGAGCAGCGGTAAAGGAGGCCATCAACATGGCGGCCACGCAAAGTAATTACGTCATGACTCCCAAGCCCTATTTGTTCTCCTCTGTGCCTGCTGCTAGCATGTTGTGCTAAATGAAAATTAGCCCCTTATTATTTCATTTCCAACTTTGACTTCCCCTTCTGGCAGTTAGGAAAAATCCACTGAGAAGCCGCACCTTCTTATAAGCCACATGGTTCAAATCGTGAGGGAAAAAAAGTAGCAGCTTATAGTCCAGGAAATACGGTAATCATCGGATCAGCTTTCACTAAATGATAAAACCTCGAATTTACTATTGCAGTTACTTTTGATGACTGATATCATGTTCAAAGGGAGCGAGAGATATTACTCTGACATAATAAAACTCATCTAGGGCTAAATAGTAAAAGATCAAAACAAAATTAATTTAGAATGAATCCAATGTTAGTATTAACATAAAACAGGTGTAAGAAAATGAACAGAAGGTTTTGCGGTGGAGCTTTGGTGCTTCCACTCATCTTCATTAAGGGTACCACCTCCAGCTTTACTTTACTTCAAACGTGCTGTAAAAGATGCAGACTGAACAGGAAACCACCTCACGGTTAACCTACAGGTGCATAAAGAGCTAATATTCTGATTCAGCTTCTATCTGCCGTCTTCTTCCTGTAAAGGACAGATTTTAGTGTCTTACTGAGAACCATCAACAGCCTGCTATGCACTCATTTTTGATAGCTTAGCCTGGATTAGCATTTGCCTTTCAAATTTCACAGAAAATACGTGCATGTAACATCAGAGAGCGTCCAGCCAGCTGGACCCTTTGTTAGACGGTTTTTAGGTAACATAATACAAAGAAAAGGAGAATCTGGAATTGTCGGCATGTTTTGGATTAGTTGCCCCAGATCGTTCCATGTGTGAGCCTCTTGGGTCCACGTTATGTCGTCTTTTTTGTAACGTGAATTAAATGGTCCCTGTTACTTCTTCACCTGATCCTGTCAGATCAGACCAAGGGCGAGGTTACGGATGACATCAAAAGCACCGCTATCGAAGCCGCAAATGCTGATCAGACCACTGTCTTCCGTGTCCGCGATGGCGTGTCCGATGGACGTCAGGCCGCACATCACCAACCTGGACGCAGTGCCTGATGCCTGTGGAGGAAAAAGAAAAATGTTTGTGAAAGGATGTCAAAATGACTACAGCAGTGAGCCGGAATGATTTGAATGGGGAATGAAAGCAGACATCAGCTGACAGAAAGTCAAATTCAATATTAAATCTTTCAGGAAACCTGGATTTGGATTAGCTTATTTAGTTAAAGTCTGTTATTCAAGAAAATAAAAGCTAAACTCAAAGATATTTTTCCAGTGGAGAGAACAAATCATTCCATTTTACATTAAGCCTCGACTTGAATAAATGTTCAGATTCATGACTTGACCTTTTAAACTCATGATTCAGGACATGTTCCTGTTTACTAGAGAGACTTGATATTTCACCCAAAAAGTTTAAAACATTGATTGTTTAAATAGCGCACACTATTAATTCATCTCACTCATGTATTAAGTTTGGTTTATGCTCAGAAACCAGGTCGTCTGCGTGTCTTGCAGTTAAAGCAGATAAGGCCCCGCCCCTTCTGCAGACACTCCGCTGCACCTCTCCAAAATTTTAGGAGGCCTCTGATTGGTTAAATCTACATCCATACTACACTATGCGTATTTCCTGCTTGGTACCTTACTGGCTTGTTTTGTTTGTCTGACCGCCATTGTGGAAAAAGACTTGTGAGGTTGGACCAGCTAGAAGAGCGGGGTGCGCGAGAACACTAGGACCCCTTTTCCACCTGGATCCCGCTCTTTTTCGCCCTCATGTCCCTCTGTTTGGCATTTTTCGTGACATATTTCCACCCTAGGACGCATAGATCTTTGCCCATTGACTCTTGTTAAAAGTTGTACATGTGCAGTAGCTCCTCTGTAATACAGAGGTGTAGGACAGCTCAGGGTGCAGCAAAGCAGGGATCTGAGGTGGCAGGAAGTGTATTTGCTTACCAGCTCCGGCCACAGTGCAGACGTTTTGCGGGTGATTGACAGGTCAGGTCGTGGGAGTAAGGGACGCATAGGGGAGAGAGAGCAAGAGAGGACGAGAGCGAGACAAATGGCGCAACAAACGTCCTTTTCCAAGACCTGGTTTAGCAACAAGGCTTGGCTAACTGCATGCAGCGAGGCTAACACTTTATTCTGCTTTCCCTGCCTCTTTTTTGAAACGTCAGGATCTGACCCAGCATGGATAAAGACAGCTAGGACGGATTTAAAGCATTTTTCAGGAAAGGTAAAGAAGAATGAACAATCTGGGATTCACATGGAAAATAATATAATATAGTGAACTTTTCTCTTAAATAAACACATTCTCAGAAAATAGTTTTTAGATGTTAAAATAAATATAAAGCTGACTATTAATTCTCCATTATTAAACTGGTATATTCTTTTTGGGTTTGTGACACAACATTGGACCATGCAAAACACAGATTTACCTTCAGAAAGCCTAAGAGGGGGCAACATTTATTGCAAAAAGTTAACCTGCAGATGAAATTAGATCTTGTTTTTTTTCAGTTTCTTTATAATGTTTTTTGTTGTGGGCATTCATATGAATATACAGGCTTGATAACTTGGTATATGTTTGATTGGTTCTTAGTATACGTCTATTTTAAATTTATAGACCCCCCCCTTCCCCAAGGAGAAAACTCCACCAGTTGCCACTGATCAACACGTTCTCTAGAGTTTTTCACAGAAAAAAAGTTACCAGACTTACAGAAAATCACACACAAAAAAGGAACGAAACTCTCTCACAGAAACACTTACAAGTCTGTACTTCTTCAAAGAATCCACTGGGCTAGCTGCAAAAGTCCACAGTGGGTTGTTGGTTAGAATGATGAACATATCGATGGACTTCCCATTTTCTGTGGCCCATGTAATGGGAAGAGTGCAGTCCGTGCTGCCACTAGGGAACTGGGAGACAAAAGCCAACGTTTAGCAGAAGCATAGGTTCAGTTATTAGACTTAAAAGAACAACAGACATCACAGCTGTGGAGTAGGAGTAGCAGTTTCTATCCCTGACCTGTAGATGGCAGCAAAGTGTCATAGTTTCTAAATATATAAAGTGCGCTGCATTTAAGGTTCTATGATAGATTTCTGCTTTTCGTATACATTAAACCACTTTAAGGTCTTCAAAAATATTTGAATGATCAATGTAAAATATTTATATAATTTATTAAAGAGCAGTACCAAATTTCCTTCTTAAAAGGTGTCCCTATAAAGAAGCAACCGCCAATTTTTTTCTTTAATTTTCCTTTAAACTAACCAGAGGAATTAAGATTTTTTCTCTAAGATATATTCGTTTTTATGAGAGTTTATTGTCAAAGGACTTTCCTGTTTATCATTGCGTGGAAAAGGGCTTTGTCACTACCTGATCCGTCCCGGAAGCACGATCCGTAACATCAGCTCAATTGCGCATCCAAATATACATGATTTTATTTTGTAAAAAAGAACTAAATTACGTTATCCCCCTCCCCAAAAATAGAAAGCGTACCAAAATATAATCTGTTCAAGGTTAACAATGTATTCCATGAGAAAATAAATGCCTTAAAATGATTTCTGTTTTATCACTCCTCTGTTCCCGATCTGCACGGGAAAAGCGATCCTATGCTACGTCCAGGAACTAACTTTTTCAGCGCTGGATTTTCATTGATTTTGCTTGTAAAGCGGGGAGAATGGTGCTAAGCTTACCGCACTGTGACGTCACGGGAGGGAGGCGTTACAATATTTGGGCAAAAAAAACTGCCATTCCTGGACTAAATGATCCCAACGAAAATTATAATTTTTTTTACTAATCAACGATAAATTTATTAAAATCACTGCAAACTACGGTTGACAAAAGTATCGATACTCAAAAAAGTATCGATACTGAAATGTTGTATCCGGATACAATACTCGTTTTTAAAAGTATCGATACAGTGCCACCACCAGTGGCACCTAAGCAGTCATTCATCTAAAGTGCAGAATAGAGGAAAATGCACTTTTAGAACACTGTGTAATTGAATTTTTTATCAAGCTTGCTTAATATTGTGCACAGCATACAACCTTTATTGTATTTATTTGTTGTATTTTATTTATTAATGAAAATATTTCTATAGAATTTTGGAGTCTTTGTTTTTATCCTTGTGGTATCGAAAATGGTATTGGGTATCGAATATTTTCCTTAGTATCCGTATCGAGTTGAAAAGTTTAGTATTGTGACAACCCTACTAAAAACGTATTAGTTTTAGGTATAAATAATGTTCCATTGATTATTCCTTGCTGACCGGACTTTTCCTTTAAGCGTCTTACTGCCACATAAATGGCTGGAGTGAGAAAGTCAGTGTCTTAAGCCTGTTAAATGTGACCAACTTGAGTGTCTCACTAATTTGAAAATTGAGTTTTTTTAAACTGTGATTTTATTACAAATGCTATAATTTTCCAATTAATTCGTCAGATTTAAAACAAAGATATGCCAAACTATTCTGTGATATCAAAGAGGTAGAGGTCCAAGATGAACTGTTCTCTGTCCTTAGTGCTAAACGTTTGATCACAGGGTTCCTACAGCAAAAGGCAAGTTAAATTCAAGACTTTTTAAGACTTTTTAATGCCACTTGAAATAAAAA